TATCCCAGGAGATGTTTCTTTTCGAAGTCGGGAAGATCCTTGACGTGCGAATGGGTGACTACGCGAAGAGTGTAACGGAGAATACTTCCCTCAAGTTCACGAAGGCCGCGCTTGGTTTACGGCAACAGCTAAACGCACAGGTCAATACAAAGGGACGGACGGGTGGAGGGGCCGGTAGTGGCGGAGCAGAGGGAGGTGTACAGGGGGACAGGGCCGCTGGAGGGGGTAAGGGGGACCTTGCTAAGCGCCGAAAGGGGGGGGGGATGTCCGGGGCAGAGATTAGGGACAGATGCACTACAAAACAACTTGTCGTGCTCATGAAAGCCGCAGAGATTCCGAAGGGCACTGTAAACTCAAGAGAAGAGGATCTCCTCGATCATCTGGAGACGTTTGTGTGTGGGTTCAGGCAGGAACCGGTTGGAGGGGCAGGCCCCAACGTGACGGGGACTGGGCTAGCCGGAGGAGGATGCGGGGGGCGTGGTTGTGAGAACGCGGGTGAGGGCAACACCTTGACAGGTAGTGGGGAGATGGCCTCTGCCGGTGGTGATTTGACGACGGAAGAAGTTCCTACGCAGGACGGAATGGACCACGACGATTTCCTTTCCCGACCGATTGCAATGGATATCTCACTGTCGGCTTTGGAGGGGGCGGGTGTGTCTAGCGGGAGTGGTTCTTGATCAAGTTTCCAAGACAGAAGGTGAAGGTTGGGCTTCGGTGGCGCCGGCTTTCGTTTTCTCATACTGTACTTCAATATTCAGGGATCATAACTAACAACATATTCGCCTGATTGAGAGCGTAGCATCTGATTGAGAGCGAGATTGCGCGATACGCTGTAGACGGACTACCACTGAGAGGTGGAGCTTGCTGTGTAGCTTGAATTGAAGGGCTAGCCCGTAGCTTCAAGCCGCTACCCTGGTCATCCTGTGGGAGTCTCTCGTTGTGGAGCTACAGCGGGGAGCAGAAGCTACAGCAGAGCCCACCGCCCGACGCGATACCGCCCTGAAACAGTTTGAGCAGAAATAGCCAATCTGGGCAAATCTAGCAACTTGTCTAGCTCCTCGCTGCAGCATCCGATGACGATGACACGCATATGCTCGCGAAGCTGCTGATGAGACCTTCAATTTGCACCGC